AGAATCTACATGATTTGGTTGTATTGGAGATGAGAATGGTCTCCTTATTACAGTCACTTTTAAGCATTTTAAATAGAACCACCTGGGGAAGGCATCCCAGTTCATGGTTATGAAGAAGTTTAGCCATTTATTACCACATGCAGTGTGTTAACCTCACAGGGGCACTAAGGGATATCAGAAACAGTCACCACTGTCCAAGTGTGCATTCAGGAAACAAAGTCTCCAGAAGCTGAAGTTCTCACCCTTTTGGGGGTTGAGATATGAACCCAATTGTAAAGGTGATGACACTCTTTGGAGAAAACTAGCAGACTATGTCCGTCATTTCATAAATACCTCGATTGCCTTGGGACACTATGGCCATTGAGGCTGGGAAGAGAGCCCGCTGTCCCGTGTAGGTGCTCACCTCTGCACCTGGCCAGGCATTTTCTGTCTAAAACTAGGCCATCAATTTTAGAATCTCTTTGGTTATGAAATATCTTTTTATTTTCTGATATGAAAATATGCTTCCTTCTAGAGGAGCAGTTTCTGATTTTTTTGAAGTTTTTCTTAACTTATAAACTTTACATAGTTTGCATTCATTCACTCATTAAATAATTATTCATCCTCTTTACTAGGCACTGATGAATAATATACATACATTGATGAATAAAACGTCCACAGTCCTTTCTTTTATGGAATTTACACATATAAATACATAATTCTACAAAGATTAAACACATAAGTATACAAAGTCTCAATCAAACATAATTGTACAAGGATTTATAATGACAATTAGTAAGAAGTCTGAGGAAAATATATATAATATGGGCAGGGCTATTCTGATCTGGGGAGAGGGATAGAAAGCTTTCCTGGGGAAATGACATTTAAGTTGGGCTTGAAGTATTATTTGGAAGGAGCCAAAAAAAGATGTCAAAGGGGGAGAAGCAGCCATCATGTATGTCCGAAGGAATATTAAAGGAAGTGGGAGGATAAGTCTTGACTGAAAAGCCAGAGGGAGAGTCCTGTGAGAAGAGATGGGAGTCACAGCAACAAGGGCAGCATCATACCCAGGGCTTTGTAATCAGCGTTGAGGATGTTGGATTTCCTCTTAAGAAAAATGGGAAGGATTTGAAGAGTTTTAAACTTGAAAGTGACTCAAATACATCTGTGTTTTTCACCAATCTTTCAGGCTGGCTGTTCTGTGGAGAATGGATAGTAGGGAAGCAACACTGGAGACAGGGTGACCTTTTAGGGGATGAATTTGCCTGGAATTCAGAAAACGGAAATGGACTTGGAGATAAACAAATAGATTCTTGAAATATTTAAAAATAGAATTGATAAAATTTGGTGATTGACTAAAGAACCCTTATAAACCAAGGGTGCAATGTGGTCTGCTTTCAGTGCAGTATTAGGTTAAAATAATAGTTATTTTGGAAGAAAAATATAACTGGAAGCATTTCAGAGATTTACTCAGGCTCCTGAGGAAATGGCAAATATATTCATGGTATTATTTTTAATGCACAATAAATCTTCTTTAAGGGTCCTCTTTTGCTATCTCTCACTCTCTATGGCTTTCACACACTTAGGAAGGAGCTTAAAAACAAACCTCGCTCTTGCCGCTCATTCCTTTTATGTGTGTTCTCAGAGGTCCCCCAGCATCTATCTGAAAAGGCTTCTCATTGCAGCCCTGCTCTTCATAAGCAGGCCTGACAGCCGCCGTGGAGTGCCTTGTGAGAGTCAATTGTTAAATTTCCAGGAATTTTAAACATGGTCTTTATTAAAAATTAAATCATATATTCTGTTTCAGAGAGAAGTGTGTGTGTGTGTGTGTGTGTGTGTGTGTGTGTGAGAGAGAGAGAGAGAGAGAGAGAGAGAGAGAGAGAGATTAACCAAAGAATTTATATGCATATATGCATAACCCATGGATGGGCAATAGTTTGGTGAAGGCCTGGGGAGGGGGTGGGAACAGAGTGGAGGGGACCGATGGGGAAAAAGGGGACATCTGTAACACTTTCAACAATGAAGATAAAGTAAAAAAAAAAAAAAAAAAAAAAAAAGATAAATTATTTAAATGTACAATTAAATACATTACATTTAAAACATTGAACATTTGCCCAGGCCAGTGTGCTCAATGGTTAGAGCTTTGGTCTGTGCACCAAAGGGTCTCAGGTTCGATTCCAGGTCAAGGGCACATACCTGGGTTGCAGGTTTGATCCCTGTTTCAATTGGGGCCCATTTGGGAGGCAACAAATTTATGTTTCTCTCACATCGATGTTTCCATTTCTCTCTCTTTCTCCCCCCAAACTTCCACTTTTACTAAAAACCAGTGGAAAAAACATCCTCGGGTGAGGATTAACAAAATAAAAAACAAACAAAAAAATTTGAACATTTACCACCACATCCAGGATTTAAACATGGTCTTTATTAAAAATTAAATTGTATAAATGCACAACTAAATACATTACATTAAAACATTAAATGGACACGTAATGAACACTTATCACCATATCACTGTCTATGAGGCAACTGGATAAGTGGGTCTGGGCTCCAGAGACAAATCTGGGATGGAGATGCTGTAGTGGGAGTTAGAACATGGATTTGGGGCAGCTTCATGGACTGGCAACAGGTGCCTCCATATAGAAGGAAGAGGTGCTAGGTTTAATGCTCTGCCTTTGCCTTCTTAAAATTATTAATTTTAAAACAACGTGTTTTCATTTTGCACTGGGCTGATCTAGCTGCCATCCATCCCTCAGAAATCTATTCTGTCTCATTCACCTACTTGGCGGCACTTATGCAAATATTCCCCATTGGTTCCCTCAACACACACATTCTTCCCAACCAGCTCACAAAATTTCCATCTATTGTCCCTCTGTAATGCTTCCTTCTCTTCGCTCTTCTTTGGAAAATTGTTAACTTGCAAGGCATTAACATGTTAAGTAGCTTTTAATACCAATGTTTCTGCCCAGATTGCAATGTTCCACATGCTCACCTTTCAGTTTGGTATTATGTGGTGGTGCAGGTGGTTCTGGAATCAGAGGACTGGGTTTGAATTTTTGCTGTGACCTGAGGTAAGTTTCTTTGGTTTCTCTACATCTCAATTTCCACGTTGGAGAAAAGAATAGTATTTACCTCTGAAGGTTATCAAGAACACTGAATTAGGTAATCTACGTAAAGTGCCTAATAATGCCTGGCACGTGGTGAGTGTTCAGTTAATGGAAGTTATTATAAAGACTATTTTATTCATATATGATGACTTAGGAACACCCAATAATCAAATTTGCACATGACACATAGTAGCCAGGTCTTAGGAGGAATAAATGGAACCCTGGCATTGATGAGCTGGAAGATTCATTTTTTTAAAACGATTTTCCTGATCCCACAATATGTTTGCCCCAGAGAGAACTTCATACTCTCAAAGCTCCTCGTTCTTCCCTATCTCACCCACTCACGGATCTAACCTCCACAACAGCATGTGTGTGGGCCCCTGGGCAGTGTTGGCTACTCCAGGACAGAGAGTGGGTTGGCAAAGTGTACCTGCCCACCAATTGCTCCCAGCTGCAGGCAGCGCCCGGGTCCATCACTAGCAAGTTGCAGGCATTGAAGACTCCTTTCCTCAACTGTCTCTGGCCTCTATGACTGGGTCAACTTGAAAGAGTACCCGGACCCAGGCACATTTGAGGATGAGCTGCTCCTTTATCGTTGCTTTCTGGACAACACGCTGATCTTGTCCCCTGACAAGGCTTGCATGTGTAAGGAGCCTGGCTGGCTCCCCCCGCCTTTTCAGATAAACCCCTCGGCCTAAAAGTGGCCGTGCACCGGTTCTCTCAGGCACGAGCGGACCAGAAGCAGGATTGGATTAGACAAGCAGCTGGAGGATGGACTGAAGGAAGACGTGCTCTCCCTCTCCGCCAGCAGCTTCAGCTCCTCCTCCTCCTTATGCTTTAACACCTGTCAGTTTTTAGGACTTGCTTCTTTTTACTCTTTGCTAGCCACTGTGTGTGGGCAAAACGTAGCCATGCAGCCTTTCTCAGCATAAAGCTATGCGTGTCGTAGGCACTCAAATACCGCAGGTTAGACTCTTCACCAACGCCTGTTTTCCCAACTCCTACCTAGCACAGCGCCTGGCAAGGTAGGCGTCCACTTAGGATGCCACCAGGCCTCCCTTCAGCCCCCAACCTCTCTACTTCTCTAGAGCCTGTGCCCCAGGCGGCAGCAAAACCCAGGGGGAGCCTAGGCCCAGTCCACTAAACCTGCTCCCAGCGCGGCTGCCGTTGCTATGGAAACGGCGGGAACTAACAACTCGGGTCCCAGCGGGGTGAGCGGGGCCCTCGGAGGCGCTGGCAGAGGCAGAGCAGTGTGAGTGACGGCCGCGCCTCCGCGGTCACTGCAGAGCCAGCGGAACCCCCGCCCCGCTCGCTGTCCCAGCCCCACGGGACCTCCGCGTCGCTAGGGACAACCCCATCCCCCAGCCCTGCCTCGGTCTCCCGCGCGCCGCCCGCCGGGTTCAGAAGGTGCCCCTGGGAGCTTTGCCAGAGGGAGGGGAGGCGCCGGCCACGGCGGGGGGTGGGGGTTGGGGTGGGGGTTGGGGTGGGGGCGGCGTGTCCTGGCCGCTCCAGTTTCCTGTGTCTCTTGACGCACCTTTGTCGTTCATTATTCGGCAAAGAAAAAATCTGGGTAATTCCAGCCAGAATCTTAATTGCCGTAAGAGCAAGCAGGAGATTGAGAGGTGAGGGAGCAAGAAGAGAATTAAGCTGTTTGCAAAGAATTACGCAAACAGGATGGGAGAAATTGAGTTTCATCTCTTTCATACCGAGCGCGCCCCCACCTCGCCGCCCTGCGCCCACGCGGCCGCTGTCCCTGGTGGTCACACCTGGGCTCCGCCGCGCGCGTGGGAGCAGGTGCGGCGCGCAGGGCGGCGCTGATTGGCCCGCGGCCCGCGAAGTCCGTGACGGCGCCGGGAGCGCTGCCGCCCGTGGGGCTCCGCGGGGCGCACGCCGGGCGCTCGGCCGTTGCTCGCTCTGACCTGGTTTGTCTGTTTCGCGTCCTTTCAGCCGGCGACCCGGCCAGCGCGGTGCGGTGAGGCCACGGGGCAGCGGGACGCCGGGCTGCAGCCGGGGCGTGGCGGGAGGATGAGCGGCACCGGCGCCAGGGCCAGCCACCGCACGCAGCCGGTGGTCAAGAGCGTGCTGGTGTACCGCAACGGGGACCCCTTCTTCGCGGGCCGCCGCGTCGTCATCCACGAGAAGAAGGTCTCCAGCTTCGACATCTTCCTGAAGGAGGTGACGGGCGGCGTGCAGGCGCCCTTTGGGGCCGTCAGGAACCTGTACACCCCGCGGACCGGGCACCGCATCCGCAAGCTCGACCAGATCCAGAGCGGGGGCAACTACGTGGCCGGGGGCCAGGAGGCCTTCAAGAAGCTCAAGTGAGTCCGCCAGTCCCACCGCCCGCGCTTTCTGGGTGCGGGAAGGTGTGCGGTTGGCACCGGGAAAGGGATGACCCCCGGTTCCCCCAAACCTCAGTGGGTGGAGGGGCTGTGACTGTGCGGGGTTGGTTGGTGCCTCTCAGCTCCTGTGGTTGGGGTTAGGGTTTGAAAACGTGACTGGAAAGGAGTTTCACTTGGGCGTCAATGGGAACATCTTAAAGCTGATGTGTAAGGAACAGGAATCTCAAAAAACAAAAGTGACCAAACGGATACTTGAGCATTTTCTTTCTTTCGTTCTTTTTTCCCCCTCTTTCCTCTTTATTTATTTATTTTTTCCTTCTTTCCCTTTTTCTTGGAACCTGGCTTTTAGTTAAAATCATTTTTAAGTTTTAGATACTATATAGTCACCAGGGGAGAAAATTGCTCTCTGCCTCCCTCCCCTCACCCCGTTTAAATTCTTTCAACCTTTCCTTCCCAGTAGAAGTGACCACACCCCACTGTGACCGTCCTAGGACCGCTCACAAGCTGCACGGTTATGCTATTGGCATCCAACTTGGAAAACTTGACTGGCTTACCGGGTCTACAGGTCTGTCTCTAAGTACCTAATGGCTAGACCCTCAAGGACAGGGATCATTATTGCTGCTCATCCCAAGTTCCTGGCAAGGAGCTCGCTCAGTGACTGAGCAAATTGTGTTTAGGTCTCGGAGGGGAACAAAGATGATCAAAGCATGACTCCTTGTCTTTCTTTAGGAGTTTACAGTAGCAGGAGAGATCCTACACGCACACCAAGAACTTCCTGTAGAGCATAAAGGAAAAGTGCAAATAGAAAAACAACTCAAGTTATGTGGGAGTTCAGAGTTGAGAGAGATTATTGCTGGTGTAGGTGGGTATTGTAGGGAGAATTTAATATGCCATAGGTTGTTTTCTTTTTTACAGCTTTATGGAGATTCAGTTCATGTCACATGAATCTCACCCATTTAAGTGGGTCTTAGTATATTTATGGAGCTGTGCAGACATCGCCACAAATTAATGTTACAACATTTCTATCACTCCCAAAAGAAACCCTGTATTTCCTAATTCACCTTCACCCCATACTCGGGTAACAACTAATCTGCTCTGTGTCTTTATGGATATGTCTGTTCTGGATGTTTCATATAAAAGGAATCATACTATATGTGCCCTCTTATGTTTCTGGATTCTTTCACTTCACATAATGTTTTTCAAGGCTCATCTATGTTGTAGTATGTATCAGTTCTTCATTTTTTTTATCATTGTATAGCATTCTATGGTATGGATATGCCACATTTTGTTTATATCCATTAATCAGTTGGTGGATACTTGGATTGTTTCACTTTTGGCTAGTATGAATAATGCTTTATGAACAATCATGTACAAGTTGTCATTTCTCTTGTGTATATACGTAGGAGTAGAATGGCTGGATCGTAAGGAAACTCTATATTCCATAGTTTTTAATATAATATTTTAATTAAAATTCAGCTTGCGCCTCAGGATAGCAAAAAAAAAAAAAATCTTCATCATAAAATCTGTGCTTGTGATCTCTGATTTTAACTGTATATAAATATTTCCTGAATATCGCTGAAGTTGTCTACGGTAATGTCAACCTTTCTTTCCTAAGTTTGTTTAAATTGAGTTCTAGGTGTTCTGCTTTTGTTATGCCAGACAATCTTTTTATGGGAGGTGAGGGATCCATTTGGATATAGTTTTCTGTTCCCTGAAACCTCCTTTAGTAGATTTGTCTAACTTTGTAGAAAAGAACTAAACGAAATTGCGTGTTTCAGAGAAAGTTAGAACTTAAAACTGAAAATCAGAAGACTTGAGGATGAGCTGTTTATCAGCTCCTTGGTCGGCCACTTGACTCGGCTCATCAATTTCCTCACACAGAGAGGGAACATCATCATATCTGCCTCACAGTGTTATGATAAAATGTAAATGCTATGGATGTGAATGTGTTTTGTAAAGACCAAAATGTTACATAAATATAAAGCATCACTGTGTCCAGTTTCTTTCATCAGATACTTTGGTTATTTTCATTAAATAATTTCCACATAAAGCAATGTCATGGGATTGGACATCTGCTTCAGAATCTACTAACAGTTCAAAATTGCAGACTCACTTTAGTAGTTCATATTCTCTTTTGTTTATGTGGCACCAGTTCAAAAAAAAACAGGTACAGTTTCAAACCAAATAGAAGGTGCACTTCAAAATTACTCTTCATATAGAGGAGATTTGCATGGTTATTCTTGCTTTTAATTCATACACACATGAAACTGAGCTTGTTATGACAGTTTCCATGGTTAGTTTTCCATGCTGACAGGTGAATAGCTAATTTATTTGTGTTAAAGTAGTGGTATCCTTGGTTATACTAATGGAAGCCAAGAAGATAGCTGAAACCAGTTTGGCTCAGTGGATAGAGCGTCGCCCTGCAGACTGAAAGGTCCCAGGTTCGGTTCCGGTCAAGGGCATGTACTTGGGTTGCGGGCACATCCCCAATAGGAGATGTGCAGAAGGCAGCTGATCGATGTTTCTAACTCTCTATCTCTCTCCCTTCCTCTCTGTAAAAAATCAATAAAATACATATATATTTTTTAAAAAAGATTTAAATGCTGAATATATTGAAAGCTTAGCAGTTGTAAGTTTATATAACAGATGAACTACCTGGCAGAACAAAAGAAAGTCCAAAAGATATCAAAGTGTAATTATATCATTTAGAGCCTAAATGATGATGGGGAAGATAGCAATGGTGGGAAAATATTTTTCAAATGAAAATGATCAACTTGCTTCTTCAATTACTTTACTCAGATATTTTTCTAATATTTTTGAAACCATAATAAAACCTTTGTTTTATAGAAGAGAATTCTAGAAATTGTTATTTTCTGTGCATTTTTGGGAGTTGACTCTACTAGATTAATCTTGTGGATCTGAGATTACTTTCTTGCGCGTGACAGACTTTTTATTTTATGTCAGAAATCAGCCTGCAGATTTGCAAAAGAGCCATTTATTGCTAAACAGAGGGAGTATTTACAATGCCTTAGGTAAATACTGTTATGTGAGGGAAACATATGATAATCTCCAGAGGTATAGATTAACTAAATCATTCTACCCAAACAAGCAAACAACAACAACAATGAAACTTAGCCAAAATTAATTATAATATAAACATTTTGGGGGAATTCAGCAATTATGGTAATTGAAGTAGAGAATCTACCTATCTATCTTTCTATCTGAGGTTATAAATTAAATGTTAGATTTATACTTATTTTTATATTGAAGCATTTATTTAGCACCTTCTATGTATGAAGCACAGTGGAACCAGAGCACAGTGATGGACTTACAGCTTGAAGTTGACACAGATATAAAATTTTCAGGTTGTGCTTATGCTATAGCTAAAGAATGATTACGATACTTAATGTCTGTAGCAAATTGTAATGGAATAACAGGGGTCTCCAAAGGTTAACTAGTCCACCCATTTGTCTGTCAGCTGAACCAATTACTAAACCATCCCATGTGGCTGAGCATTTCTGTATCATTAAAGTGCTCTCTTAGGGAAAAAGATTTCCCAGACTTTCACAGTTGTTACTCTATTGCATGCTATCTGTACTTTTTTTAAAAAACCTAAATTCTGTGATTACTGGAACTATTAAGCAGCTTTACAGACAAACTATTCTTTATATCTAAATTACCATAAGAATTAGAAATACCATATACATAATAAGTAGCTAACCATTGCGAGGGAGAGTGGGGAAGTTCCCCAATGGAAGTATGTATTTCTAAGACTTCAGTTACATTGAAGTTTAGAGTACACATCTGTCAGCTCTGGTTGATGATGCTGAAATAATTTTCCACTACTATAATTACTTTTAATTAGTAGCTATTATTTTTTTGCTGTAGGTTTAAGTATTTCCTGTAGTTTGCTTTATTACTTAATAATTTTAAAAAAAGAAATGTGTATAACTGACTCAAACTCAATAAAAAAAACCCTTATTGTTTGTTTGTTTTTCCCTGCAGTTACTTGGACATTGGAGACATCAAGAAAAGACCAATGGAAATTGTTAACACAGAGGTAAAACTAGTAATATTTTGAAGCTTTAAGCAAATAGCAGTGCCACTTTTGTGTTTCTTATGATGTGTGCAGAGACTTAGATGCTATTCTAATCATAACAGATTAGTTGTCTAATGTTTATAAATGGGATGTTATATATTTTAGGACAAAGCTCACTCTTTCTTTGGAGCATTATCAGAAGTGAAGAGACTGAGTAGGTATCCTAAACATGTATGATTAGACACAACATGTTCTTGTGTTTAGCTAAGTGTTTTAGCTATGTGTTCTCTGATTGAAATCCAAAGAAACTTTCCTGGCAAGTGAGAGGAGATTCTGAACACCGTTATGCCAGTCTTTACTAAATCTACAGCCCTGTCTTCAATTGCTTCTGCCACCCTGTGTCTGAGATTGCCATGATCACCTGACTGCCTCAAGGCTTCCAAAAGACCCTGTTGATTTTCCCATGATGTCAGGAGAACACCTCCATTTTCATTGGCATTGACGTTCACTTGAGCGTAACTACCAGAAGCTTGCATGGAGGTTGGAAACGAGTCTTGTGAAACAGATTTTTAAAACACTACTTTCTATTTAGCTTCTGAATCCCTAGTGGAATTTTCAGATATCCTGTAGGATGTATTCTATAGTTTGTGGGTGAAAAATAGATGAAAACAAAGTTAGGACAACAGCCTTCAATGTCCCAGTGAGACAGGGAAAATTATAGGTCAACCCAGACTGTTATTCTGTTCCCCAGCCCAGCCTTCCCCTCTTCCCATTTTGACCCATGTAGACAAGTGCTTCCAAGGTGTGTGGTGCCAGGCAAGAAATGGCTGGTAGAAAAAGCATTTCTCTCATTTGTAGTGCAGAGCCCTATAGAGACTCCTCAACTCTTGCCGTTTCCTCTTGAATCATGTTTATACCCAACATAGGTCTCTCTAGAAAACACACACACAAAACTTAATAAGCAAAAATTCTAATTCTGCAATATTTGAAGAATGTGAAGTTAATTTCATTATTCAAATAAATTGTAGAAAGAGGTGCTAATCCCAGACATTGTTAAATATAATTAATGGCCCTAGCTGATTTGGCTCAATGGATAGAGCCTCAGCCTGCGGACTGAAGGGTCCCGGGTTCGATTCTGGCCAAGGGCACATGCCTGGGTTGCAGACTCGATCCCCACTAGGTGGCCTGCAGAAGGCAGCCGATCAATGATTCCCTCTCATCATTGATGTTTCTATCTCTCGCTCCCTCTCCCTTCCTCTCCAAAATCAATAAAATATATATAAAAAAATAAATAAATATAATTAATGTTTATAAGTTAGGTTTACAATGTGTGTTAAACTGCTTATTAGTGAACGTGATAAGCTTTTGACTTAAAGTAGACAAAGGTATATGTTTTTTTTTTTTTTTTTATTAAGCTTATGTTGCCACTAAAGAATGAGCACTAGTTAATATCTATTCAAGTAGTAAAAAAAAAAAGAAAAAAGGAGAGATTAGTGAATTATTTCTGGATATAATTTTGTTTGAAGGATACACAACTATTTGAAGTAGGCTATCTTGCATGAAATTGGTGACTGTACACGAATATCTGCAATGGGATTTGAGATGTGTGACTTCTCCCAAAATGTGAGCATATATTTACTCTGGATTCCAGTGTCTTTGATGAAGAGATTGTGCCGGGCAAAGCACAACAGGTGTGCAATACATTTTTTGGATATACTTTTTTAAAAAAGATTATGATTAACAATGGAAGCATTCACAAGGACTTGTGTTAATTTGCTAAGTCTCCTTACACTCTGGTGTAGTAGCTATTGTTTTCTCTTTACTTTGGACCTATGCATGAGCCACACAGACAAGCTTCTGATTTATGAACAGACGTCACAGTGAAAAACCCACTGCTTATCTCCAACTAGAAGACTGTATCTCTTCTACTTTATTTCTTCCTGGTAATTCCCTCCCCTTCTCCTTCTCTCTCACTGCACCAGCACTGCTGTAGCCTTTCATTTCTTCTCAGTCCTTCCCCATAAAGCCTTCCAAAGGGGAGAAAAACAAAGAAGTAGAAGAAATTTGGGGATGCAAGGGGAATGGGAAGAGGTGGTGAAAAACTCCTTGTTCATGCTCTTCAGCACCTTCCCTCACCGCCCCAAGCCCCATGCTCCCACTTGCTCCCTGGGGCCCTCTCTCCCACTGTTGTCTGCCCAGACTTTCCTCCCAGTCTAGACAAGCAGTATGTCCTCTTGGCACTTTGCATTCCCAGTCTTGATGGTCAAAGCAGAGATTCTCCTCCACACCATGGATATTCCCAAAGCTTGCTTGAGCAAGGGGACCCCTGACTTTCATTGCCCAAAAGGGAGAGTTTTGGGTTTCTGGCATCTCAGAATGGAACTCTGAATGCATTTTCTCATAGAGATACTACTTTAACTGATGGTTCTACAGTATTATTATGGCTGTTTTAGGATAGAGCACAAATTAAAAAAGGCTTTTGTGGGCTGCTCTGAGAACCTAACTATTGTGTGTGTAATTCTTTGTTGTGTGTAATTCTTACTGTGGAGAGATACCTCTCTCTTTTCCTCAACTTATTTATATTCCAACTTTAGAATTCAGTAAATTTTTAAGTTAGAAGGTATCTGTATTCAACATTTGAGAACAGACTTGGTCAACACTGGACTTCCACAAAAGTTTTAGATTCTGTTTTATTATTATTATTATTTAAGATGGTGATTTCTTTTCAACGTTTGTGTCTACTGAGAAAAGATTACACACCTTGTTAAATACTGTGGATAACCACTATTCTTTGGAGTAAGATAACATATTCTACTCCCAGTCACAGGGAAGGATTCACAGAATCACCTTTGAAGTGGGTTTAGGACATAAGCTATAGATTTGGAGGGTTTAGAGTTGTTTCAGTGCAATAGTAGCACAAACAGTATTTATTCCAAGATGCTTCAGTACGAAGGTGAGTAAAAGTACTTATCAAAATTGGGGGAATTTCTCTCAAACCTGAGGTAATCTAGTCCTGTTTGAATTTTCAGTGCCAGGCTGCATAATAAAACCCACCATACCAGTATACATGATGCAGTTATCCTAACTGCTTAAAGCACAGTAACTCTAATGCTTTCCAGAACATGTTACTGTAGAAAGGCCTTTACAGTTAGATGGGATATCGTACAACATGTGGCATCAGGTCCTGGCCACCGTGGCCAAGGTGGCAGGCAATGCAGCAGTGAGGACTAGGAGTTGGCAGCATTCCTTCCCTCCCAGAGCACTCTCCCCCAAGTGTATACCGCATTCTGGTTGCTGTTTAGTTAATAATTTAGACACGATGTTTATCCACTTGCTGACTGCAGGTCACTGTCACTAGAATGTGCATGTCACCTTGACATGTGAAGGTCTTTTTGTGGTTCCTTCCTTGCGTTTCTGTCCCATGAAGATCATCTTTGAAGACACACCGGCAGTACAGCCAGTGCCCTTCCTCTTCCTCCTGGAGAGTGGTGCATACAGAGGAAGGCAGGACTCCAATGGGCTTCTTCCACTAACTCAGGAGAAGCTCAGGGGCTTCTTTGGCCAACGCGCCTGGCAGTGGGAGGAAAAGGAAGAGATGGATAAAAAGAGGGAGAAGAAAAAGGTGACAGGAATAAGACAAATGGGAGATGACTCTGTGGGGGTTTGTCCTGGCTCTGGAGACAGCAGTGTGTGCTCAGAGCAGACTTCCCTTGCCTCTCTCCACACCTGGCTTGGTTCTACTAACATTCAGATAAAGAGATCTTCCAGAGACCCCTGCATGCTCGCCTCTGCTCCTCAGTCATTTTGTACAGCTATCTTCCTGCTTCCCCTGCACCACAGAGATACTTTTCTCATCTTCTGACCTTGGTAGCTCATCCCTTCTGTACGTCTTTCCAGTCCTCTCTTTGCCTCTCATTCTCTGATTGCATGATGTATAACAACTATTACAGGGCACAGATGCTGGGCTAGAGGTATTCTCAGAGGACTGAGAAGGTACAAATGTGATAGGCGGTGTGTGTCAGCTGGTTTGAAATGGTTTTAAATATAACTGAATTTATTTTTGGCCTGTTTCTTTTAAAGTTTTGAGAGTGTTCTTTTCTACACCTTGACTAAGGGGGATTACTTAATACTTTTATGTGTGAGTGAGTCGAAGCCTATCTCTGACTAAAAGAGTGAAAATTGACTTGGAAGGGAAGAGACAAAGGCTGTTTTGCCATCATCGAGTTCGGACGATAGACACCGAGCAAGCCAGCTGCAGAGTTAGCAGAGAGCAGTGCTTCTCCCACAGTCGGGCAACAGCTGCACAAGGCCTCGAGGGCCCCCTGTTGAAGGGATTATTGCTTTTTTACTGCTGACACTCACAGCCCTGCTTTGCTGTAACCATATTTTACTGGGGATCTTTAAGTGCTGAACTGCCCTCACTTCATCACAACCCCTACTTAGCCCCATTTCTCCTAATCTCACCTCAAACCTAAAGCAGTCCAGAACTGCTCTCTGCTTCCCTTGCCCTCCACAGCTCCCGTCAATGAGAACCCAAACCTCACTGAAGGTGATCCCTGCCTCCCTCTTCTCAGCATCATCCGGTGGTTTCCCCAGTGCCACCCTTGCTGTAGTGAGGCAGCAAATCTGATTTTGGTGGGCTGCGAACGGCGGGTTTGCTCCTGTTCCTGGTGGCCTGACGATCAGGCGTTAACATATGCAGCAGAGCTGCCAGGTAGACTGTAAGTCTCCAGGAGGTCTGTTCACTCTGGATAGTACCTAGCACGAATAGGCTGGTGATCATTTTAATTCTCTAGTTTTGAATATTTCTTATCACACAGTTAAGGGAGATGCCTGTCTGCCTCGTGCATGCCTGATTATTCTGTAGTTCATATATGGGTGGGGTGTCTCAAATAACTCTATAATTATCATGGCCACTACCTGTTCAGATTTTGTTTTAGGGATAAAATCAGTTGTAGTTAAACCTCTGTGTGATACATTTATTGTCGTGTTAGTATAATTTGGAGCTATATCACAGGACT